AATAACTTGTTTCTTTACTTGAAACAATTGGCAAATTGGTGAAATATAATATTTTTTAGACTTATACCATAACTCTATATCTAAAAATATTAACTTGTTATATTAACAATTTAGTAAAACAGATAAAAAATCTAAGGAAAAAAAAGGAAAGAAGAAAGAATTTTGTAAGAGAAGTATAAAAAGAGAATTATTCATTGATAAGATTACAATTAAATGTACAATAATCTTTTTAATTTTCTAATCTCAGCATAAAAACTAAAACACCCAAGACTGAAAGTGTATGAAAACTGAGGATATATATATCTTTTCTATCTTTTTTTTATTTCTTGTCAATAATTTTTTTTATTACAAAAAAAATAAATTAAATGAAAAAATAAAATATAAAAAGGTCCTTCCATTTTGGAGGCATATAATAACTTGGCGAAAAATAAAAGAAAATTTTGATTTGGAAGAAACTTTCATATAAAGGAAAAATGTAAAAAATAAATTAGGTAGAAACAATGAGAAATATAATAAAAATACAACGATACAATATTTTTAATAAAGGTATTCCATTTATATTTATGTAAAATTCTTAATATGTTTAATGTAAGTATTATATACTAAAAGTTATATACTTTAGATTATTAAACAATTAAATAATTTTAGTTCATAGTTGATTATAAAAACAATTATTCGTTATCAAATATAAGAAAGATTCTTCTATATCATTTTTTTCAAATTTTTAACCTAATACTTTATATAACTTATATAATTTATTTATCAATTTAATGTTAAAAAATCTTTGCATATAATTGGAAAAACAATTTAAAAAAATACGAAATAGTAATATATAATAATTTTCCTTATTATAAAAGTATCTTGAAATAAAAATAATCTAATATCTTTATTATTCTTAATGTATTAATTTTTTTATAAAAGGAATTTAACTAATTTAATAAATATATTTCCATATTTTTAATAAAATTAAATCCTTAATATAAAAAACTTCAATTACATTTAATCTTTCCACTATGAACGTATAACTTTCTGTAGAGTAAATTCAAACTTAACTAATTTTTTAAAAACTAATCTTCATCATAGATTAATATAATTCGTTAAAAATTAAAGTATATATTTAAAAAAAAATTACAAAAAAAATATATGTAATCATCAATAAATATATTCGAAAAAAAAAAGTAAATGCTCTGAGAAAAAAAAAGTTTTCTTTTTTATTTTTATATACATATAGTATTACTTTAGATAAAATGTCAAGATGTTTTCTTAAATATCATTTTCCTTAGTTATTTCTTTATTTTATATTAACATTTCATGAATTTATAAGTATTAATAATAGTTTTATTGATTAATTATTAAATGGATTTTTTCTAGTAGAAAAACACATACACATACCTAAAATGTATTATTTCGAATGCGTATATTGTTTTCTTGTTTCATAGATTGTTCCTTTTCAAT